GCAAAATTGTCTCTTTAAAAAAAAAAAAAGGAGAATAGAAAAACACAGGGGGAAAGAACAGAAAACAGAGGATAACTAAAATAAGTTGAGCATCAGTTATGGACCAGGTACCAGCTACTTGTTCCATATCAATTACTTCACTTTAGCTGCCCAGCAACCTGGAACCATAGTTTGTTTTTCATATAAAAGCCAAACAATGTCAATTTCCTGGCTTTGATAATATTCTACAGCTGGGTAAGATAAAGGTGGGTGAATCTGGGTGATGAGTACAAAGGATTTATCTGTACTATTTTTACATCTTCGCATGTGTCTATAATTATCTTAAAATAAAAAGTCTAGATGAAAACTGAGGCACAGCTGGGACCAGATGGTGGCGCAGTGGTAAAATACAACTCTGTGAGGCTGACCCACTAGGGCCAGTCCCAGGTTTGTATCCAGAGAGATTCCTGAGTGCACTGAAAATATACGTGCCCATGACTCAGGGCTGGCTGGTGCTAGGGGTGGATCACAGCACTGTGACCCTTCCAGGAGTGCTGTCTGTCTCTCTTGCTCATGGAAAAAATAACAAATAATCTTTACTACAAAAAAAACAAAAAAAATGCGGCATAGAGAAGGGTTAAGTAATTAAGGTTACACTGCTAGAAAATAGAAATTAAGCACAAATGTAGGAGATGGGAATAGTTATTTAATGATTAATTAACAAAAAAAGCAATTCTTTCCAAACAGATTCATTCAGACTCATGTAAGCACCTGTTACATAATGAGTCAGATACAGTCACTATTTTTTAAAGAAGCTTCTAGTCTAGTAGTTCTCATTTATTGAACATCTACTATACAGACCCCAGAGACAAAGAAGAAAATAAAGGTATAATCCTTAACCTCAAAGGAAAAAGGAAAAAAAAAAAAAAAAGAGCTTTCAATAAATCCTAGGAATACACAGGTGAGCACATACATACACATACTCGAGTTACCCAGGGGCTGATGGTGCAATTTGTAGAGTGACCTCACTAAAAGAGAAACAGTCTAATTTTCTACTTATGATTTTTTTAAAAGGTATAAAGGATAAACTCTTAGCTAAAGTTAAATATTGTAGTTTCATAGTCATTAATGCCATCCACAGTAGGTGTTCTTCCTTCACTGGGTACTCCTGCAGGGCAGCACTTAGGCATACAGTTTTCTCTTGTTGTTGCCTGTTTTTGCCTCCATGGTATTTTGAGCTCATTGACTTCTGTATTTTCTTTTCCAACACTATGTTTCATAGCATATAGCTGGAGATGAATAAATAGGAGTTGACACAAGTTCTGTCAAACAAAAGTTACTTTCCCTGAATAATTAGCTACAATATTTATAGGACGCAGAAATTGATTAAATTCAATTTAACTAATAACTTCGAGATTACTGGGTATAAACTAGAAGATATTTTACTAGCTGCTTCATAATCCTAAAACATTAAAAAAAACACATTAACAAATTAGTATTGTTGTCAAATAACTAAAATCTATGCCTGTATCAACTGTTTTCTTTTTAAAAATGTTTTATATATATTCACAACAGAGCGTGTGCACATGCGTGACAGTGAGAGGAGGTGAGAGGAGCACCCTCCACAAGGTCTGGTCACACCAGGACTCCGGTCCTCCAGCTCATCCTACCTTGGGTGCTCGTGTGTGTGCCTAGTGTATTCTGAGCTGATGGAGTGCCCGGGATTCAAATCATGGTGGTCATGCCAGATCTGGCGTGTTACTGCTGTCTCAGGAAGCCATCACAGTTCTTTCCTTATTAAAGAATGTCTCTCCCAAACTATTAAATATCCTTCCTGATGTCTGAAAAAATACTTTTTTGACAAATTTTTTTAAGGTTTTTGCCATAGAGTGTATGCACTCGCCAAAGAGAGGCAGAGGGAGAAAAAAATGAGAAATCACCACCCTGGGGGATGAACACATGGTAATCCCTTCTCCATTCTCCTCCTGGATTTTGAGTACATATGCACCCATACACAGAGTGATTTTTAAGCTACCAACTCCGGGACTCAAACTGAGGTCATCCATGTGGGAGTCCAGCACCTTAACCATTATGCCACCTGCTGTCCCGTTTGACAACTTTAACCCTGTAAAAATGTTTTTATATATGAAGTTAAATACGAGAGGGAAAAACATTTTGGCACTTGCTCTTGTTTACCACTACTTTCAGCATATTTATGATCTCTCCTAAGATTTAAACACATGAGTAAACAAAATATCTCTTATAGGTCATTAAAATATCAATGAATCAAATGATATAGATCAAATATAGGCCAGACCCTGCTATGTTTTAAGATATAGGCTTTTACTTTTTCCAGGTTATAAATTAGCATTATTTATTTTTCTAATTTACAGGTAAATAGTTAAGGGAACCAGTAGTTTAGCCTAATGGCTATGTCGCTGGACTCCCACGTAGTCGACCGCGGTTCGCGTCCCGGACCCGGTGGCTTAAAAAATTCATGCCGGGCACCTGTGCGTGCGTGCCCAAGATCCCGAGAGGAGAATGGAGGAGAAGGGATTGAGGCATGACCATCCCCTCTAGGGGGTGATTTCTCGCTTTCTGTCTCTATGTCTCTCTCGGTCTGTCTGGCGAGCACACATGCCCTATAGCGAAAACCTCTCCAAAAAAAAAAAAATAGTTAACAAAATTAGAACTCAGACTTCATCGTCACTAAAAAATGGTTAGAATCCTCTCCTCAATACACAAGTATAATTACATATATAGATACTTGTTTTTTAAAGAGTTTCCTGTTTTTGTTTTGTTTGTTTGTTTGTTTGCCTTAGGGTACATGTGCTTGCTGTAAAGAGAGAGTGAGAGACAGTGAGAGGGAAAGTGAGAAATCACACCACCAGGGGGATGGCCATGCTGCAGTCCTTTCTCCTCCATTCTCCTCCTGGGACCTTGGGCACGCACACACACTCCCCCAGCATGATTTTCAAGCCACCGGGTCTGGAACTTGAACAGCAGTCAGCCATGTGGGAGTCCAGAGACATAACCACTACACCATCTGCTGGCCCAAAGCATATACACACTTTTTAATATCCAAATTGAATTTGCTAGTAACATTTTTCTGCCCTGGTGGTAAATATATTCACATGTTTTCTCCGTCCTTTTCATATAGGTAAAGAATATGAGGCCCAGAAGCTTAGCACATGATTTTAGAATAACTCTTCATGTCCTACAACATCTTAGCATTCTCAGAAAAGTAATGACTTAGAAAATCCTTTTCTAAGAAGTAGGATTTAGGGCCAACTAGGGTGTGGTGGTTAAGGCAGCTGGATTCCACATGGCTGACTCTCCTGTTCAAGTCCTGGACCCAGTGGTTTGAAAAACATGCCAGGCGTATGTGAGTGCCTGCCCAAAATCCCAAGAAGAGAATGGAGAAGAAGAGACTGCAGTGTAGCCAGCTCCCCAAGGAAGTGATTTTTTTTTTAACCTTCTCTCTCTCTCTCTCCAGTGAGCATAACTTAGAGAAAAACTTAAAACAAAAGATTGTCATTTGTGTAGGAATACTGTCAGGTAGCTTCCCCAAACCCAGCTAAGAAGAACCAAATAGTTTACCCACTCCCAATACACTATTCTAATCCAAGGTCTCACTGTCTGTGCTCAATGGAGGCTGTAGCTTTGATTTGTTTGTACTCTTTTTTTTTTTTTTTGGAGAGGTTTTCGCTATAGCGCGCATGCGCTCGCCAGACAGACAGAGACAGACATAGAGACAGAAAGTGAGAAATCACCCCTCAGGGGGGATGGTCACGCCGCAATCTCTTCTCCTCCATTCTCCTCTCGGGATCTTGGGCATGCACGCACACGCGCCTGGCGTGAGTTTTAAGCCACCAGGTCCAGGATGCGAACCGCAGTCGACTACGTGGGAGTCCAGAGATATAGCCATTACACTAACTCCTGGTTCCCATGATTTGTTTGTACTCATTATAAAGAGAACACTGAGTACCTTTTCACAGAACAAACTTAAAATAAACTCATTCAATTCTTTCAGAATTCTATCTTCTCTAAGCTTGCAATAAATAAATTAAGAATTCTTTATGACATAGGAAAGAAGAAATAAAAGAACTGTAAATAAACCAGAAGAAAGAATAAGAAAGTAGATAAGCTAAATATTTTAAGTAGTAGATGATAGAAAATCTTCCTGGAAGAAAACAGTGATAGGCATGTAAAACTCACAATTCTTTTTTTTTTTTTCTTTTAGAAAGATTTTTGGTATAGGGTGCCTGTGGTCACCAGAGAGACACAGAGAGAGATAAAGAGAGAGAAAGTGAGAAATCACCCCTTGAGGGGATGGCCATGCCATAATCCCTTCTTCTCCATTCTCCTCTCAGAATTTTGGGCACACACACATGCACACACACACACACACACATGTGTATGAAACAACCCCCATAAGTTTCAAGCTACGAGGTTCAGGTCTCAAACCACAGTCACCATGTGTAAATCCAGTGCCTTAACCACTGTGTCACCTGCTGGACGCCACTCAATCTTTCTTTTTTTTTTTTTTTTTGAGAGGTTTTCGCTATAGGGCGTGTGCGCTCGCCAGACAGATAGAGAGAGACATAGAGACAGAAAGCGAGAAATCACCCCCCCAAGAGGGGATGACCACGCCACAATCTCTTCTCCTCCATTCTCCTCTCAGGATCTTGGGCACGCATGCACACATGCCCGGCGTGAGTTTTAAGCCACCGGGTCCGGGACACAAACCGTGGTTGACTACGTGGGAGTCCAGCGACATAGCCATTACGCAAACTGCTGGTTCCCGCCACTCAATCCTTCTTAAGCAGTAAATCAGATACCATCTAGGAATAGAGCCATCCTTAAAGTTGGCAGCTACATATCACAAATCCATAGAATCCATTACTATAGGATATGGGTTCAGTTCCTTCATTCTCAAAGGTATGGGAGGTGAATATCTATTCAGTACTTGTATCTCAAGTCACACCAACCTAATTTATTGCAAATTTGGCTTACAGTACCTCTTTAGGGTGGAAAACTATATTATCTAGTTTGAAGTCTCCATGAATCAAACTCTCTTCATTGTCATTATCTGGCACGTTTTTCATTAGCCACTCGGATAGCTGTACCATGGCAGGGATGTCTTGATGAGCTGTAGCTTGGTATTGCTTTGTCCAGGTCAATACCTAAAGATATACAAATAAGAAAAAATGACAGAGCTGAAAGTGGAATGTGAGATCCAGCAATTCTAAAATTAAGGCAAAATTCAATTTTACCAAATTTCATTTTACTCCTAAATACTCAAGGCAAATGCTTGTGGGTAATACCCATTTTAGTTTGAAATATTTGTAAGCTAAAAATATAAACATCTAAGTTTCTATTCCATCCGGTTCAATTTTACTTATATAATTTTTTATTAAAAAAAATTACTGGCTTTGGCATCAAGACATATAGGTTCTTATATTATACATAGCAACTATTTTGTGGAAGAAAAAATGATACAAGCACACACACATAAATAGGCAATTTCTGGAAATAGTTACAAGAAACAACCCCCTTAAATGGGAATATGAGGCTAGAAAAAGAATGGAAAATTTTACTTTTAACTTTAATACTCTTAATTATGACCCATAGTATCTGCTAAATATATTACAGGAATGAATAGTACAAAGAATTTCTATTGCTCTTAGAATTGAATACAAACAAAACAACCTATTTTCAAAGTCCTTCAACAAGTGAGGCCATTGGATTTATCTCCTTGTATCTCTTGATATTTCCTAAAGTGCCTCTGCTCAACTTAGTGCAATATAACAAAGACCTTTATTTTTGGAGTCCTGCTGACTTGGGTTTAAATGATGTTTAAGCCACTTACTTGTATTTTACTTGATCTGTGTAAGCCTCAATCCCCTCATCTGCAAAATGGGAGCAATAATACCTGTCTTAAGGTTGTTGCAAAGATTTAAAACGGCCCACAACTCACCTAGTATGGGTCTGGAAACACAGAAAGTACTCTATAAACCTTAGCTCTTTTCTCTCTCTCCTAAGTCCTCCAAAAATAACATGCTTATAGAGGAAAATAGCCTCATATACATCTGGTCTTGCTTTCCATTGATTTGAAATGCTCATTCTATCTCTTTCCTATTATTCTAAATTTTATCTTTCCTTAAAAACTCACAAATCTAACTAGGGTGAGATGGTATCTCATTGTGGTTTTGCTCTGCAGTTCCCTAATGATTAGTAATGTTGAGCATGTTTTCTTATGTTTATTGGCCATTTGTACGTTTTCTTTCAACAACTGTTTATTCAAATCATTTGCTCATTTTTAAATCAGATTTTTTTTTTGCTGCTGAGTTGTTTGAGCTCCTTATATATTCTGGCAATTAACTCCTTGTCAGATTTACACATGCACGTACTTTCTCCCATTTTCTGAGTTGTCTCTTCATTTTGTTGATTATTATTTTTTTTTTTTTGCTGGGCAGAAGCTTTTTTGTTTGATACAGTCCCATTTGTATATTTTTGATTTTGTTGCCTGTGCTTTTGGGTTTTATTCATAATTCTCTGTCTATGCCAATATCCTGAAGTGTTTCCTCAATGTTTTTTTCTAGTTGCTTCATAGTTTTGCTCCAGTTAGAATGGCTACTATCTAAAAGAAAAAATAATAATAATAAATGCTAGTGAGAATGCAAAGGGAAACTTCTGCACTGTTGGTGGTAATGTAAATTACTATAGCCATGATGAAAAATAGAATAATTCCTCAAAAAAATAAAAATAGAACTTCCATATGATCTAGCAATCCCACTACTGACCATATGTCCAAAGAAAGTATGCCATAATGATATAAGCACACTAATGTTTACTGCAGAAATGTTCACAATGGCCAAAATACAGGCTCAACCTAAGTGTCCATCAGTAGATGGATGGACAAAGAAAATGCAGTATATATCTACATGTATACAATGGCATACTATTCACAATTTAAAAAGATGAAATTCTGTCATTTGAGATTAAATAGATAAGTCAGGAGGACAGTATGTTAAGTGGAATAAGCCAGGCACAGAAAGAGAAATAGCACATGCTCTACACAGTATGTGGAAACTGAATAAAGATAACACCACAGAAGCAGACAGAGGAATTATGACTGCTAGGAGCGCAGAAGGATGGGGGCTGGGAGAAAAGGAGGCATGTTAGTTGAGGAAACAAAATTGTAGATAGACAAGAGGAACAATGTCTAGTGTTATATAGCAGAGAAAATATACAATATACACAACTATGTACCTCAAAATACCATCACATAATTTTAAATTTTTTTCCAGTACAAGTAATGACAAATGATTGAGATGATGGGTACACTAACTACCCTAATTTAATCATTATATAGTGTATCCTTATACTGAAAAATCACAGCTATGTACAGTGACAAGTTAATACAAAAACCTCATTGCAACACAAGGGGTATTCAAACATTTATTTGACAGTGTATTATTATTATTACTATTTTTTTTTTGGAGACGTTTTTGCTATAGGGCGCGTGTGCTTACCAGAAAGACAGAGACAGAGAGACAGAAAGCAAGAAATCACTCCCCGGGGGGATGGCCACGCCACAATCACTTCTCCTCCATTCTCCTCTTGGGATCCTGGGCACACATGCACACGCACCCGGCATGAGTTTAAGCCACCAGGTCTGAAACTGGAACCACAGTCAACTACATGGGAGTCCAGCGACATAGCCATTACACTAACTCCTGGTCCCGACAATGTGTATTATTAAAAAAAAGAAAGGCGGCCTCCCCGGGCCTGCACGGCCGGGGCTCTGCTCCACATTCCGCTGCCTCTGCGGGGCT